GGGGGGTCCCCAGTGTCCCCAATGTCCCCAGAGGGGTCAGGGGGGTCCCTGATGTCCCCCAGTGTCCCCAGGGGGTTCAGGGGTGTCCCCAATGTCCCCAGGGGGGTCCCCCAGTGTCCCCAGGGGGTTCAGGGGGGTCCCCAGTGTCCCCAATGTCCCCAGGGGGATCAGGGGGGTCCCGGGGGTCCCCAGTGTCCCCAGTGTCCCCAGGGGGTTCAGGGGGGTCCGGGGGGTCCCCAGTGGGGTCTGGGGGGTCCCTCACCGATGCGTTTGGTGTCCCCAAAGTCCTCCTGGGGTTCGGTGTACGGGGTCAGCTCGTCCCCCTCGTACCCGATGTTGATCCACTTGTCCTTCATGATTTGCTGGGGGGGGGACACAAACACGGGGGGGGATGTGGGACCCCCCCAGACCCCCGACAGTGTCCCTGGGGGGCTTCCCCCAGACCCCCGAGGGACCCTCAGGAGCTCCCGTGGGACCCTCAGTCCATGGGACCCCCCAGACCCCCATGGGACCCTCAGGAACCCCCATGGGACCCTCCAGACCCCCTCGTGACCCTCAGGAACCCCCCAGGACCCCCAGATTCCCACGAGACCCTCCAGACCCTCTGTAGGACCCCCCAGACCCCCTCAGGACCCTCAGGAACCCCCATAGGACCCTCCAGACCCCCTCGTGACCCTCAGGAACCCCCCAGGACCCCCAGATTCCCATGGGACCCCCCAGACCCCTTGTAGGACCCCCAGATCCCCCCCAGCCCCTCGTAGGACCTCCCAACACCCACGTAGCCACCCCAGACCCCTTGTAGGACCCCCCAGACTCCCTGTAGGACCCTCCAGACCCCCATGGGACCCTCCAGACCCCCTTGGGCCCCCCCCAGACCTCGAGGGTGCAGCGCTTGGCCGGGTTGAGCACCAGGAATCGGCGCAGGATGTTCTCACAGTCCGTGGACATGTAAAAGGGCACCCGGTACTTCCCCCTCAGGACCCTCTCCCGCAGCTCCTGGGGGGG